GACGTGCACGAATTTTAAAGCGCTCAACATGACTAAACAGTTGCTTCTGAACCTGAACCATCTTCACCATGCTCAAGATGGCACATGAGACTACCAAAATGAGCTATAACACTACACTACCCCTTAACCAAATCTCTCAAAATAAATTGCTAAATATAGCAATGTCTAGCTGTTGACAGACTTAGAAATTTTCTGAGTTTTGAACTGAACTTAATTTCAATTTGTGATTTCTAAGCTAGTGGAAATATTAGCTAGCAATATCATTTTTCGACAGCAAGTATTTCACCGTCATCTACAAAGTTTGTACTTCAAACTTTATTTAAGTGTCACATACATGTTCTATAGCATTTTTGTTCAATAAAAATTAGTTTCAAACCCTACTTGATATGCATGAACTATCGAATCAACTTTCGTTTAGCATTTTTATTGATCATTTTGAGTTACGGAAATTGATCTACACACTTTATCACATGCATTGACACACAAGTATGATGCTCATGACATGTTCTAGTAGATGATTTACGGTGTAACACCGAGGGTGTTACAGTGGTTCGGCGGCTAATAGGTATCACACACCTAGCCCAACAAATGAGTGCCGCAAGAACCTACCCACAAGTGAGGGTAACTCAATGACATGGGCAATCCACTAGAGTACCTTTTGTGATCTCCCACGGAGAAAAGGTCAAGAACCCCTCACAAATATAATCCTTGATTGAGGGCGGACACAGTCACCAAATCCCCTCACCAATCGACAAATCACCAACTGTCTAGGTGACGACAATCACCAAGAGTAATAAGAAATTCACAATCACAATCACCACCTAGTGCCACTAAATATGCAACCTCAAATGCACACACTAGGGTTTCCCCAAAATCCTCTCATGAATGAGCACCAAGCTAGGAGAGGGAGAGGAGAGGGAGGAAATGCTCTTGAAGCTATCAATATCAACACTTTGAATCCTCAATCTCTCACTTAGGGTTAGCTCAGCTTTGGGAGAGAGAAATGGAGCTTTTCTTCTTCAATTTTGGATCTCAAGATTTTCAAGAATGGGAAATGAAGGAGTGAGGAAGAAGGGGAGGTGCCAGCCTTATCCTCTAGCCTACCTCCCCCTCCCGACCGTTGCTGTTGAGGCTCCCATTCCTACACTAGAATATCTAGGCAATGGCCTAGAATTTCTCACCCAGACGCTCCACTCCTGACTGTTGGCGTGGGTTGGACTTCCTCACTAGAAATTCCAGCTCAGGCCAACTAAAAATTCTAGCTAATTACGACCAACCAACATAAGACCCCTACCTGGAATAATAAGTCCAGTGAGCAAGAAATTCTTATTCACAATTCACAACTTGCCCAAAACAAGTGATATCTCTTCCCAAAAAGCACCAAACCAATTTTAGCACTTGAGAAAGCTTTTCACAAAGAATTTTCCCAGGCTTTCTCATGCATCTCACCACGTCACTAAATGCAATATATATGCAAATGAGATTTCCCCTCTTTATATTACGGTTATCTATCCTAAACCTGATCATGCACTCTATTGCGTCTTGACCGGCAAAACAAAATGGCTTTAGGTTTTATACCTTTGCCTTGAGCCCATTTTGTTTTGCTCTTTCTCCTTTTCCAAGTTGGAGCACTTGATCATCTCATTTGGCCACCACCACCACCATAACCATCATCTAGCTCCATCACTTGGTGTGTACTAACCTAGCTCATATATCACTTAGAATGCAAGGTTAGTACACTTAGGTTTCATCAATTATCCAAAACCAAACTAGGGATTTCAGCGTCGCGCCGCGCCGGCGTCCACCATGCGCTTGATTGGTCACACGATCACCTCACGGGCTGCCCAAGCGTCGCGCGCATGTCCTTCATATCGGTCACCCTTGGCGCAGAGGTAGAAGCGTGTGTCATCCTCGGCATGGAGGAGGGGGCACGCCGGGCCCGGGCAGGCGCGAACGTGGACCAGCCTACAGGCCATAGCGCATGGCGATGACGGTCCAGTCAATATTTTTCGAGTTTGATCAAATTTATAGAAGAATGCAACAATATTTATAACATCAAATGAACAAATTATGAAAATATATTTCATAGTGCATCTAATAACATCAATATGGTGCTATATATCTTGGTGCTTTTTCTATAAATTTAGTTAAATTTAAAAATGTTTGACTTAGGACAACTTAGGAATTAATTTATTTAGAGACATATGGATCCCTCGGTACCCTAATAGATGATTTTTTAGGTCTAGACATATGAATTGAGGAGAAATAAAATATGTAATGTATAGGTAATGAAAAGGAGAAACATAGAGATATATTGAAAAAATGATTTTTAGGTCTAGACATATGGAGTATATACATAGGTTGCGTTTGGCTGACCCAAACCCGGCTTGATCTGCTTCTTTTTTCAGCCGGAATAGTGTCTTTCTCTCACAAAATTCCCGCCGCTACAGTGATTTTTTTGGGGTCAGCCGAACGCACCCATAATAACTTAATAACCCAGTAAAATATCATGCATAAAAGTTATATGTATAACTTAATAACTTTCCAAAAATAAAAATTGCGGAAATATTTTTTTTAGGAAAGAAAAGTTGTGGGACTGCTCATGGTTCGCTGGATTTGAATCCAGTGAACGACGGAAATGGAATTGGAGACTACGGAGCCACGATGAAGGCATAGGGAAAGGCTGAGGTGGAACAGACAAAAATTTATAACAATGAGGGGTATTTTGATAATAAAAAAGCTGATGAAACAAACGTTTCGCTCTTGAATATTACTGAGTAGAGATAACCTGAAACAACGGTGGTAGGTGGATTCAACGGTGGAGAATAATGTAAATTGGTTGTAGATGGATCCAATGGCAGACAATATTGACAGGTAAAGCTAAAATCGGTAGTAATGTCACATCTTTGTTGATAGGTCAATCCAAAAACCGATAGTGACATATCACTGTCAGGTGGTGATTCAACCGGCAGTGATATCCCAACTATCAGTGCCAGTTGGCGGGAATGATAATCGATAATGATATGTATATTCACTGTCAGTTCATATGGATCCCGGCCCGAACGTTAACCGGCCCTAGGCTTGGAACCGAATTTTCCATAATGTGGAAAATATCGATGCCGAAAGAAGAGAGAGAGAGAGAGCGCGTTTGAACCTCTAGTCATCACATAGCAGGACCGATGTCAACTTAAAATTTTCTGGCATGACACAAGTAGATGGCGATTCTTGCCAATTAAAAATGATTTTTGAATCGGATGTTAGAGACTCAATCACGGGTAGAAATGAGTGGTGGTAACTTTGACAAGTTTGACCCACGTGCACATGCCCTCGATGCTGAACATTGTGCGGCATGAAGAGTTCCAAGCATTGGGACTAGCAGTATGCGCATTAAATTTTCCAGCATCGAGAACATTATGGGTAGTCTTGGCCTCCATGCAACCCAATGTGATATGCGATGCTGAAAAAAAGGTTCTAGGATCGATGCATCTACTTTACTCGATGCTTGGAGATTGAAATGGCTAATCCCATATGACAGCATACGTGGAAGGACATGCCAGACACAAGGCTCGTGCAACACGTTGCAGCTAAAGCTGAAATGGAGCATCGATGATTCAACGTTGTTTCGAGCATCGAAGTTGTGGACAGTCTATCCATGTGATCCGAAACAATAAAGATATACACAGCAATGCGAGCAACCCATGCTATATATAGACGCATGCCTTCCAGGCCTCTCGGCACTCGCAACGCATTTTAACAGCGTGTCTTCTATAGTTATCAAAAGAAGAAGAAAAACAGCGTTTCTTCTTTCCTCATGTAATATATTCCCTTTTTGGGGACAAGGTCTCGCTACAATTTCGGTGCCGTTCCCTCGCTCGATCGCCAAGCACAAGCAGCCATGGCCATGGAGAAGCAGATGAAGACCGTGGTCCTCTAACCCTTCGCTCGGCGTGGGCCATCTTAACCCCATGGTTCAGCTGGGCAAAGTCTTCCTGCGCCGTGGCGTGGCTGTCATCATCGCCGTCGTCGACTCGCCCGACGCCATGGGCCGCCTCGCCATCGCCAACCCGGACATCACGTTCCGTCACCTTCCAGTCCCTCCCACCGGCAAGGACAAGTACTCGCACCCTATCATGCGTACCATCGACGTGCTTCGCGTCGCCAATCCCGCGCTCCGGAGCTTCCTGTGCACGCTCCCAGCCATCGACGCCGTCGTGGTCGACATGTTCTGCACCGACGCCCTCGACGTCGCCGCCGAGCTCGACATCCCCGCCTACTTCTTCTTCACATCCCCGCTCCGCCACCTCGCCGTCAACCTCCACCTCCCGTACAACTTCCCCGCGGTCTCGTTGAAAGACATGCCCGAGACCGTGCTGCGCTTCCCCGGGGTGCCGCCGATCCGCACGATGGATATGGTGACTACGGTGCAGGACAGGGAGAGCGACATTGCCAGAGCACGGCTGCACCAGTGCGCGCGCATGCCTGAAGCGAGAGGCTTTCTCGTGAACAGCTTCGACTGGCTGGAAGCACGGGCCCTGAAAGAGCTCAGGTGTGGGCTTTGCACGCCCGGTCGCTCAACTCCGCCTGCTGTCTACTGCATTGGGCCGCTGGTACCGCCCGGGAACACGGGAGGAAGCTGGGAGAGGCACGCCTGCCTTGAGTGGCTGGACACGCAGCCGAAGCGGAGCGTGGTGTTGCTCAGCTTCGGCAGCATGGGCATCTTCTCGGAGCCGCAGTTGAGAGAGATGGCCCGCGGGCTAGAGAGTTCTGGGCACAGGTTCTTGTGGGTCGTGCGGAACCCACCTGAGCACCAGAGCAAATCAATCGACCCGGATCTGGAGGCGTTGCTTCCGGATGGTTTCTTGGAGCGGACTAGGGAGAAGGGCTTGGTGGTGAAGAACTGAGCGCCGCAGATGGAGGTGCTGCGGCACGACGCCGTCGGCGCGTTCGTCACCCATTGCGGGTGAAACTCGGCGTTGGAGGGCATCGTGTCCGGCGTGCCGATGATCTGCTGGCCGCTGTACGCGGAGCAGAGGATGAACAAGGTGCACATGGTCGAGGAGATGAAGGTTGGAGTGGCAGTTCAAGGCTACGAGAAGGAGCTGGTGGAGGCAGACGAACTGGAGGCGAAGGTGAGGCTGGTGATGGAGTCCGATGAAGGGAAGAAGCTTAGGGAGAGGCTCGCGATGGCAAAGAAGATGGCCGCAGACGCTCTCAAGGAAGGTGGGTCGTCACACATGGCGTTCGACGAGTTCTTAAAAGGCCTGAAGAAGAGCAGCGCGGAGCTGAAGGCATAACCTGGTAGCATACTGATACTGTCCTGCGGCTTCTTTGCCGAATGTATCTTTCTAATTGAACAAGAAGATGATATAGATGTGTAAAAGAATCGAATAAATTGAATGAGGCAACGAAAGAATCATGAACGTACAAACCCCCTCGGCCCTCCTGTTCTTGTGATCCGACCCAGCCTACACTAAAAACAGCCACAGGGCCATCACCTCCACAAGACATAGCAACAGCTAACCGGCTAGATTAATCACACAATTCACAGCACAAAAGCCAAACCCAAGAGCATTAATACACCTCGCTCGGGTCGGTCTCTCACTCGTCCTGGTCCTGGCACAGCTCCTTCCTGAGCCGCTGCGAGAAGAGCTTGCAGGCGTCCATGCAGAGATCGACGGCCGCGGACAGCGCCACGAACACCGCGACGTCGCCCATGCACGTCACGTGCTGCACGCCGACCTGCACGGTGGGCCGGCTCGCGCGCCCCTCGCCCTCCACCGTGGAGCCCATGACGAAGCCGCCGGCAAACGGCCACGCGGCGCCTGCGGCGGCCTCGGGGAACGTGGCCGGGTCGATGACGAACTGCCCGCCGCGCTTGGTGCTGATAGACGACTCGGCGATGGGGACGGCGCACTCGTGGGGGCCCGAGTCGAAGACCAGCTCCAGGCGGTAGCCGAGAGCGTCGACGGGGCCGCGCTCGCGCCAGGCCTCGAGCCGCGCCCAGGGCTTCCAGCTGGACGGCCCCGCGCCCGTGGCCTGGAGGATGAGCCAGGAGCCCGGGGACGGCACGAACGGTGTCACCATCGCCGCCGCCGCCACGGGGAACCCCGACAGGTCGTGGATGGTCACCGTCCAGCCCTTCCGCTGCTCGCGCCGCGAGTGCGCGCCGTCGCGCCCTTCGCCGTGGAGGGTGCTGCTCAGCCAGGACCGCAGCCTGCGGCTGGTGCTCCGGGTCATGGACGATTGCGGCGTCAGCGATCTGGTCAAAATTTGCAGCGCGCATGCAAGATTAGTTTACATGAACGTAACGTGCAGGTGCATGGTTGCATTACTGGTGAATCCAGTAAAGTTTAGCGTACAGATATCATATTCATGGCGTGGCGCCAAGTGTGCATGCGACAAGATTAGCAGGTACTAATGGCGATGGTAATCCGACCTCGTGTCGTGCTCCTTAGGTGGACGTGATATATGGAAGATTCTGAGCCAGCTATGTGAGCTTCGTAGAGCAAATTTAAAAATACAGCTAGGTTGGTAAGCCCATAACATGCACGGTTGGTGTCTGTACTCTGTCTGAGCACGACGGATGTGTTCAGATTTAATTGATCAATGCTACCGATAAGTAATTTTTTTTCTAGAACCTTAGGGTTTGTTTAATTTCTCCCTAAAAGTTTACATCATATCCCATCGAATGTTTGACACTTATATAAAGTATTAAATGTAGACTAAAAAAATAACTAATTGCACAGATTGCGACTACTTTGAGAGACGAATCTTTTAAGCCTAATTAGTTCATGATTTGACAATAAAGTGCTACAGTAACATATGTGCTAATGATGAATTAATTAGGTTTAATAAATTCGTCTCACGATTTACTAACGGATTCTGTAATTTGTTTTTTTATTAATATCTGAACACTCCACGCGATATCTTATATAACACCCGATGTAACTTTATCCAGATGAACTAAAGAAGTCCTTAAGCTAGCTAGCTGGATGTATGGGGATCTGAGCAGCACTGACACTGAGGTTTCTCTAGAGAACCAACTTGACTGCTCAGAGTGCAGGGCTAATGAGAAATTGGATCTAGTTTGTTTTTACTTCTATTTTTACAATTATGTAGACAGCGATGTGTTCACCAATTCATTTTTTATCCCAACGAGAACTGCTAGCTTCCATGGCGAATAGATAAATTAAAATTAAGCGCAGGTTGCAATATACATTTATCAAGTGGCATTGCCATTGCCAATTAAAGATACAAAGGCACGCCGAATTGGCGGCCTCCCAGTATGTCCACGTAAACTTCATTTGAGTGGTACGTTGGATAAAAACTACATGGCCTAGATGCATCACCATGTTATCCATCCATGCAGAACCAACTCAACCAAGTAGGTGCATGCACATTGAATGCAGCAGGTGAATAAATGAACAGCGTGTACTGAAGCCATCTACTAGGCTGTAAGCGGTCATGTCACTAATTTCTACCCCCACCGTCCACCAGCCACTGCCATTGAATGGAGAAAGTGGACAGATAAATGAACAATAGGTATTTACATGCAGAAATTTACTACCAGTAAATTTGAAAATAGGACGCCACGTCCAGAACATGCAATGCCCTTTTCCCATTACATACAAGAATTGACTATCAGCCTTTTTTCTTTACATACAAGAATTTACTATCAGTAAATAAGTGCATACATAAATGAACAGAAGGTATTCACATGCAGAACTTCACTCCGTAAATTTGAAAACATATCGCCACGTCCAGGACCATAGTATTAACAACACATGTGGATAGATCAATGGACAACAGGTATTTACATACAGAAATTCACTACCAGTAAATTTGGAGACATGACGCCACATCTAGAACCATAGTATTAGCAACACATGTCATGCCTTATTCTCTTTATATACAAGAGTTTACTATCAGTAAGCAAGTGGACAGATAAATGAACAAAAGGTATTTACATGCAAAAATTCACTCAGTAAATTTGAAACGTGCTAGCTCGAAAGCAGGTGGGCACATTTAATGCCTCTCGTCCTTACTACTCTCTCCATATATGGACGGCGCACATTTCTCTATCCAAAAACAATTCGCCACTTCCAGGACCATGCATGGACGGTGGACATTTGTACTTGCACATAAAGAACTTGCAAAGTGTTGCTTCAGACAAGAACTCGATTAAAAAACTTCACATGCGCCGCGTAGGATTAAAAAACTTCACATGCGCCACGTAGGTCAAAAGTAGGTGGACACATTTAGTGTCTCTCCTAGATGAAAAATAGCTCCCACTTCAAGGAACATGCATGGTCATTTGTACTCTCACATGCATCCATGCGTGCAAGTTGCTTAGGTTGGGCCCCATTGCCATTAATGAGCTCCTTGCACCCAGTGGTGGCAGAGGCGCCCATGCCTCCTTAAGTCTCCAACTCTTGCCTATATAACCATGTGGTGTGCCATCCATTGCTTCATCGCCCTCCTCTCGATGCTTGCTTGCATGTGCCCTCGTTTTAGTTCCTCCAATATATATCCTTATGTGGTTGCGGTCACCTTCCTGGGTGAAGTAAGGCCCATGTATAGGTGGTTTGCTTATATAGTTTTTATGCAGAACTATTCTTGGCAAGAGATCAAGGTCTGCTTGCAAGGAACTATTCTCTAGGCAGAAAGTCAGGGCAAGGTAGCTCCTTCGTTCTTTTACAATTTTATTGTCTGGGTTCCATCAGTTGGGTGACAAAGTATTTCCAACTTGCAGTTGCGAGTAAGCCTACGTCTGTGGACTCCACCATCAAAACTACCTATCGCTACACAGCTTCATCCAATAGATCTGATGCTATTCTATGCACCACATGTTGGTGCCATAACCAGTGTTCCAGTTTTAAGTCTGTCAAGTAGTGAGTAGTGCACCGTTGTGCTATATCCTTGGCACATGAGTCCTTACTTGTGTTGGCCTTTGGAGGTCCCTGGGCTATTGTATCCACGAGTCCACTTTGCCAGCTTAGTAGATATAAGGATCTTTATGCCTTACTTGTGTTGCCCTTTGGAGGTCCCTAGCCTTTGGAGGTCCCTAGCCTTTGGAGGTCGGCCAGAGTGGCTTAGCAGTGTGTTGGTACCAGCCATCTAAGTTACTGAACTCAAAGAAATAATTTGTAGCCCCCCTGTTTGTTTTTGCCCCTGTGTATTCTTTCCTCAGTTTGCTTAAAGTGTTTCATCTAATTTCCTTCCATGTAGGCATATCTAGTGCCATGTACAATATGTGAATATCTATGTGATGCGTGCACTTCCAATTTGACTTCTATGTGGTAATAAGTTTGTGCAATTTGGTTCACTTGAGAATTGTAGTGTTGTGATGCGTGCACTCCCAACTTGACTCCTATGTGGTAATAAGTTTGTGTGATTTGGTTCACGTGAGAATTGTAGCGCTTGTCTGTGTAGAGTCTGGTTGGAGAATGCCAAAAAATGCAAAACAGCAAAGTGCCGCCATGGAGATTGTGGAAACCAGGATGATGGAGTAGGGGGCGCAAACGCTGACCTGATTGCTTTCCTACTTCTCCCGTTCAATAGTTTGCATGAACCAATACCCCAACATTGAATACAGGTTGGGTTCCTGAAAAAAAAAATTGCCGTTAGCCTACCAGAATGCATGGTCGGGACTGACAGATTGGAGGAATCAAGAGGATGCACTGACCATATGTCGTTGTCACTTTATCAGGATAACAGGTTGTGTCATGTGGACTCTTAGGTTGGAAGAATCAACCAGATGAACTAATCTGGTTGACTGTCTCCGCCTCGCACCACTGCAGCCCATGTTGTTTGCCTCCCTTGGCCACGCAGGATATAGTAGCATCATGCTTCTATCCACCTAAGCCGCACAAGACACATGCACAGTGCTGGCCTGGCTTAGCATCGCCGGTGCCGCTTCCAATTCAAACATCGTGAGTGGCGGACCCATGATTCGATCATGACTATGGCCTGCACTTGGCACTGAGAACTGTCAATTGTGTTTTTACTTATTGTAGAAAACGACCCATTACCGTCAAGCCAAAAATTAATTAAAATGAAGGTGAAATGTCTAATCAATATGATGATTGCACATTACTCACCTCCAACAGAAATCGACCCATATGGTAGTAGCCAAGACCTGCCCAACATCTCATTCACTTCTTGTAGCAGCCCAAACCATGAATCAGGAACTTCATTAAAATTTAACCCCACAAAATTTCAGGGTCAAAGACTGAATTAATGAAAATATGCAGCGTTAAACTAATTTTTTTAGGATGACAAGTTCAATAGAAAGATTGAATTAAGCGTTAATCCATGTGCTTGTGCACAACCAGTCTCTATTTATGCAAAACAGTGCCACACTCTTGAAGCAACAAGTCAGCCATTAATGAACTAACAAAGCAGGCAATGAGTGCCATAGCAATAGAACATACAGCAGCTACTCACTTAGTAGTTCTTAGTACACATACCAAAGTAGCATTTCTTTTCCCCATTAAGAGAGAGTTACATATTAGTACAAAAACAATTAACTTGTGGTGCTGGACCGTGTAAAGAAAATTGAACTTAGTAATAAATCAACTTAAGAATGTGTAGAGAACTAACATGGCCAAGTAACAGTTAACTTGTGGTTTCTTTAGTAGTGTGCTTCTGAAACTAATCTAACTCCTTACAAGCACATTATGAGAGGCATCACATGTCCGTTCCGGTTGAGGTAGATGGAAATTCATTGTAAAGTCCCTAATGCCATTGTACCATGCAGCAGCAAGAAAATGGCATTAGTCGGAGTTTTGCAGGAAAGTTTTGAGCATAACCTAGAACCAAACTCTAAAATATGGAATACGTGCTAACATTCTAGGTGCAAACACAAAGAGAGGAGGGCAGGGAACCTTACATATTGGAATATGCATTCGACAGAATCATTGCCACTCCAAACTCTAGCAGGACAACAAATTATGAGATTAGCTTTTCAATTACCTAAATATCTCTGAGCACCTGAAGTCCTATTCACGTTTATTGACCTTGAGAGCAAGACTGCAATGCTGCAGGTGACCAGTCCCTCCAGTTTGTTCTGCACAAGCGCAGAGTAGAATCAGACAAAAGCCCATAGCTAATTGAAGTTTTTAGTAATAGTACAACACGAAGAGAGTTATGTATCATGCCCATATATTTTGTTTTTAGAGATACTGCAATGAGTAAGAGAAGTGCATTCCTATAGTTACTGTAAATTTCAATTGATG